CATCTTATGTACAGATTTTTTTTTTGGCCCTTATCTCTCATTGTAGACTTAATTATATTAAAATGTGAAATTCATAATTTAAAAAGTAGCTTAAAAGACAAACAAAATATTTGTGTGAAAAGTGGCCCTAGTTGTGTTGCTATATTTGAAGAAACACCCAATAAGCAATTGAGTGATTTCTGCCTGTATTATTTTAGTGATATCACTAGCATTTGCTTTGAATACATTTTTGTCCCTTAACTTATTCCAAATGTTTAAATTCACAAGTATTTAATGAATTGGGGTCATAAAGCTTGGTTCCAATATTATACCCTGTTCCCTCATTTCGCTGTACTTTGGCCAATGAGTGGCAGCATTTAATAACATTAAACTGCCTAGACAGTGTGCTGATAGTTATTGGTATTAGTTTGTGACATATTTACTTTAAACATTGCATAAATGATTTGCATGAGGGTGTTTTTGTATGACTTATTAAAAAGAACCACCTCAAGTTATGGGTTTGAATCAGTCAGTCTAATAAATCCTTCACTGAATGAACTCATTGAATCATAGTGGTAACTGTATCAAATACTTTTGCTGATGATTTAATGATATTTAAAAAAAGAAACATGCTATATGTACACTAGCATTCAAAAGTTTGGGGTCTGTAAGATTTTTAAATGTTTTAAAGTATTTTATGGTTACTGTGTCATTTTTTTCCTGTAATGGCAAAGCTGAATTTTTAGCAGCCATTTATTACTCCTCAGTGTCACATGATCCTTCAAAAATCATTCTTATATGCTGATTTGGTGCTATGATAACATTTATGGTTATCAATGTTGAAAACAGTTGTGCTTATTAATATTTGTCTAAAATAGATTTTTTGATGAATAGAAAGTTCAAAAAATATTATGAATTAGTTGCCTTGTCAATTACAAATGTGACAAAAGGGGGCGCTAAATGACAGGCCCTTATCCATGAGGTGAAGAAACTGGTCTTTTGATGAGGGCCACATTAACTCATGTAACTGTAACTGTGTGTCCAAATCATCCATAGGGGGCAGCAGACATCAAAAACTAGCTGTATACAAGAGTGTTCACATTAAACTGATTTCCAAGTGTATTATTTTCTTTTTATGTATAGAGTTTTATTTAAAGTCAGCTTTTGGTATTTGAGAAATCTCTAGTACTAAAACAGATCTAGAGACTTTTAGTCTAATGTTTTTTTCCACCTCTCTTAGGTTATTATATGAATATTAAAAATGTCATATATATGGGCAGCATAACATTCCATACTAAATAAATGTTCCATTTTAGTCTTTTTTTTTTATTTAGGTGCTTCTGAACAAACAGCTGAACTAATTAAGCTCAATTTGTCAGCAGTGAGAGGTCAGAGATGTGTGCTAATATCAGCACAATGACTCTGTGCATGTCTTACTAACTCGGAGTCTGACAGCCAGCTCATTCCTGCCCTGACTGCCTGTTGCTAACCTCTTCTCCATGGTTTCAGTCACACCACTGCTCGTGTTGGTTTTTGCCTCTTCTTTGGCGTGAAGCCCCTGTGCCTATGATTAGTGAGGTTTTTGTTAGACAGCAGACAGTGTTTTGCTTATTTGTCTGCATGTTTTTTCCCAAATTTGCATTTATCAAAATATAGTGTTTTATCAAACTATTGGCTAATAATAATTTATCAAAATATGTATCAAACTAGCAGAATAATAGTTATTATTATTATTATTATCTGAATATTAAATGTTTAATTGATTATTATCAATAATATTAATTTATCAAAATAGAATTAGATTTAACAAACAAACAGCTTATTAATTGAAATATAATTCTTTATACTTATTTACATGAATGATTTAATAATAAAGCATGAAAATTAAGAGTTTTTTTCCCTCTGAATTCAACAAAATACTTTGTCAGGTTTGTCCAATTTTACTCATTTGGAGGGAAAAGCAACTAGCATTGATTTGTTATTACGATATTTGTTATTGCTCAGTATATTAAAACAAGAAGAGCAATGCAAAGTGAGACAAATACTCTGAGCAATATCACTATCACAAAATAGAGGGATTTTTTTTTCCTGTTCAACAGTAAGGTCTAATAATTTATGCCCTTCAAACACATCCATCCTTTGAAATTAATATTTCATGAGTGCCTCCTGAAATTCACCCTTTCTGGAGCTTGCGGTTTCCCCCATGATTCACACTTAAGTTTTCATGCATTTAGAGTCCCTGATTGTGACAGAACAAAGAAGCACCTTGTACTGTAGACTTCTCTATGCTGTTTGTGCGAGTCTTAATAAGCTCAGCTGTGAAATATTGGATGTGCGCAGCAGTGTCTCTGTGGTTAGCAGGGAGACAAAAGCAGTGACCTCCCATCCCCTGTAGTTTTTAATAGTTCTGTGGGAGTAGCCATTACAGCAGTGGAGGTGAGAGGGGGGAATCTCATAAAGACCAGCCTTGATGCGCTTAAAAAGATTAAACAGCCAACAAAAGCCTAATTCAGTTTCATCTGCAGCTCGTTTTGTCTAAGACACTGGTGAGTTGAATTGCGTTATAGCCGGTTATAGTGTGTTTTGGTTTGCAGGTTGCCAGATTTTTTCTTGCATTCTGCAGACTGGTAGTTGTGTTATCACTCCACACACTGACCCATTATCATTGTGAATGTGATAACTGTGCCCCTTTGGACTGTGATAAGGTGCGTCGTTTAAAAGCCCCTCTTATCACATTTGTATGCTGTGACGCAGGCCTTGTTTTATTGGATGTATCTCTTTGTATCCACTCCTCTCACCTTTTATTCTCTTTCCCTCCATCTCTGTCTCGGTTGTTGTCCGTCATTCATCCTTAGACGTCAAAGGCTTGAGAAATGGCCTCTCACGGCTCCAGACATCTTCCTCACCTCTTGCTTCACACAAACTCTTTATTGGATTCTACCTCTGCATCATCTATCTCTATTCACTCTCCTTTTTTGGTCTAAATGGCCTCCTCCTTTCTCCTCCAGCTGGGTTTGTTGACACACAGTCAATCGTGGACACTTTCACCCACCCGTTCCCCTTCCCTGAGCCATAAAGCTGCCACAGCTGTGGGCTGTTGAACCAAAGTGGAGGGACACATTAAATATATTACAACCATTAGCTTTGTTGGGGCTTGACTGTTTTAATACATTGAAGTTTTACGCCAGCCAAAGGCAGGACACAGCAGAGCTCTGCTGCTGATTTTAGTTACTCTTAAATGCTGCATTGAACTTAAATAGGAAAGGTATATGAAAAATAGCAACAAGCAATAATGTCATCTTGATTTACCCCAAAAAAAAAAAAAGATGTGTAACTGTTTCTTCTTTTTATTTGAACACATTTTAAAGATATAACTACAGTGGTAACAAGATATTATAAAATTCCTGTTCTTTATCATTTTCTGCAAATAATTCAGCTCAAATTGCTTAACATTGCTGCATCATTTTTATTTAACTTTGTGATTATATAAGTAATGTGTTTTTTAGATCTTTAAAAAGTGTCCTGTATCCCAGCTTTAAGACATTTAAAATTTTAATTTGAAAGTGATGTTGTAATATTTGCATATTGAATTGTGACTGGATATTTATTTTAATAAGTTTATTAATTTTTATTCTGGTATAGATAGTGCCTCACTGGCCCCAATGCAACAGAACATACATTTTAGATTTATATTGTATTAATAATTTAAGTGTAGTAATTAAAAGTTGGGGGTCAGTTTTTTTTAATTAAATGTACATTCTGCATTTATTTGATCAAAATACAGTAAAAACAGTAATATTGTGAAATTACAAATTAAAATGTTTTCTATTTTAAGTTTCTATTTTAAGCTTTGGTCTAAACTAGGGCTGCACGATAAATCGCATGCGATATTTAACTCGCATCTTATCAGTAAAGCCGGTTCTGTAATCAGCGGTAAATCTCCATCACCTGCGGGCTTTAGGCATTATACACAACAATGAGTACAACAATGTTACCTCTATCTCAAGGTTTTCTTTTAGTTGAAAACGTGTGTAAACAAATACAAGTACTCGCGTCGGCCTATGTTTATCTGTTTCAAATAACATATTAATGTTGATAAAAACAATAATATCCACATGAAAGTTGGCTCCTCAGTCTGACAACAAGAACGTGCGCCGACACAGGCATTCCAGAGACAAGCAGAGTTTCTTACAGTGCTTTGTGTTTTCTGTTCAATTTTCTGTTTTCCGCTCTCCCTCGAGGAAACTTAAAGGGGTCATATGATGTTGCTAAAAAGAACATTATTTTGTGTATTTGGTGTAATGAAATGTGTTTATGCGGTTTAAAGTAAAAAAAAACACATTATTTTCCAC